TCGTTCCAAGGTCCGGGCTTCTCGGCTCTGCCACGACCTGCCCGAGGAGATAAGGCTAGCATCATCAGTAACCTCCTTAAATAACTTCTTAAAACCCACTTCTTATAACTGTTTGTATTAAACTCTACATTTACTTTTCCACATTGTCTTTGGGTGTCTTTCTTGCTGTCTGCTGTCTGCTTTACTCTCCTGTTTTTCTTTTTGATATCTTACTAATATGAATGTTTTATTGATTGACTGTTTTTAACTATTCTTATTGCGTTATGCTGAATGTGCAATGCTTTGTTGCACATTCAGCACTGTTTTGGAAAAGTGCTGAACAAATAAAGATGTATTAGCATTATTATTATCCAACGCTGTTCTGTGTGTGTACTATACTTTATAAGAAAAGGTCGACAAGCTTCTGAGGAGAATGCACCCTTTCCTTCATTCACTCTTTCCTTGACTCTGTGATAATGAGGCCTACTGTCGCCAAATCAAGAGCATTTTGTAACTTGACTTAAAACCGGACTGTAAAAACCAGACTGTGTTGTGTAGTAGTAACCTTACTGCTGTTAGACACAGAGCACTCCTGTGTGAATGTATTTACCAAGTTATAGACTTCTGGTGCCCCGTGCAGTCTGTCTACCCCTTGTAAAGTTCTAGTCTTTGCCTACAATCAGTCAGTAATGTGAGTGATATAACAAACGGCATTATTCTACGCAACAATAAAAGGTTTCACTTCAAAACACTCAGATCGATCACTATTGCAACAGCACTTTTTATTTGAGCAAAAATGCTGCTGAACGATTTTATAATATATTTCCTTTTCTTTTCTTTTTTTTAGAATTGCAAAATAAAATTAAATGGCATGAAAAACAATGGGGCTAGTGGAGCCAAGGAGGAACAATGCCATCTGGTTTGAAGAATAAATACTCAAACATGCACAAATCCCTTAAAAACATCACTGTGTAAGGGCGAGGAAGATCTCTCCATTTTAAACAATCTAGTAGACAAAAATAACAAAAAACAACAAGGTATGGGTTTTATATTCTTTCTTTCCTTTTCACCAGTTCATGTGAAAATCTACTTTGACACCAGTTTTCCATTGATAAGTGTTGAGTTTCTTCAAATGCCAATTAAACGCAGAGGGTATATCAAGAAGCACAAGTCCTGACAGAAGTGCTTGTCCTCTCCCGCTCTCTTGCTCTTTCACTCTCTCTCTGGGGGTTATGATATAGATTTATGTGCCGTGACACGCTGCAGATGGTGTGAATTAGACGGGTGGAGAGCCAGCACCAGGTCACCAGACTTGGCCCGGCCTTGAGCCTTCATTCTCTTACAATAAAACCGGAGACACAAACGACTCATGGGGAGCGCCCTGCGGGAGGTGTCGCTCTGCAGTGCCCCCTACAGGCTGCTCCAGTACTATTTCTGAAGGCACAGCATGGGGAGTCTGCACTGAGGGAACCTTTGCAGTTCTTAAGATTTTTCCTGGGAGTTCACGCAGTTGGAATCAAATCAGCCTGGGATAAATATTTTCAACGCTGCTATAGGGATGGGGTTTTCCAATCAGACCAGGAGCCTTTTACAAAACAGTTTGAAATGCAACCTACATCTCCACCTCTTCACCAGGAGTAGTTATTTTTCCTGGGGGCAACATTGAGATATTTCCATGGTGTGGAGTAGGGGTGGGACCCTAAGGGTACCTCACGATACGATACGATACACGAGACAAAGCTCACGATAACGATAATATCACAATAACAATAATATCACAATAACGATTTTATCACGATATGACAATTATCAATATATTGGTCAGAAATATACCGATAATTTATATGAATAAATATAATTAAAAGTTTAAGTGAAAAAATACACTTTATTTCATGATAAATGGAATGGAGATGCGTAATGTAGCCATATATTAAGTATTGACACTAATAAAAAAATTAAAAAATTATATCGATACTTGGCAAATGCATATTGATAATCGAATCGCAGGAAAAATTATCGTGATATATCGATATCGCGATATATTGTCACACCCCTAGTGTGGAGTGCTGTACCAGTATTCATGTGGTAACTAAACCACATTTCAAATAAAATGAAAGAAAAAAAATAGTAAGCTTTATTTATTTAGCGCCTTTCGCAGACGAAGGTGACAAAGCTCTTCACAGTAAATGCAAATAAAACATATATCTTTTCACTTATATTATTTTCATTATTAGTTTCAAATTCCTCATGATCCTATACGGCCGAACAAAATGTATATTCAGATATTTTTTCCTTTTGCTTTTTTTATCTATCCTGGACAAGGGGAAGTAAAGTCTACCTGTTTTGTTTTCATCACGTGTTGCGGCGGCTATAGCGGTGTCAGAGATCCTTTGTTCCTTTGGCTGTCAGACTGTACAACAGACCTATGTGTGTTTTCTGCTGCTGGACACCTGAATTTCTCCTTCAGAGGATCAATAAAATATCTATCTATATCTAACTATGTATCTATATTTCCACCCTGCGCTGAGAGAGAGGGAGGGGCAGGCCGGACAGAACATAAAACAGACCGAATGTGACCCCCAGACTGTCATTTCCCCAGGTCTGCTCTGGACTGTGGGTGTTCACATACAACAGCACCTCCTACAGGCTGTTTTATACCTGCAGAACACAAAGACAAGCCAAACCCTCAGAGAGGATGCTGAAAAACAGAAGCACTACATTGATTTTGATGAAGAGTAGAAAGAGACTTTCATATTAGGGTTGGTAATCGAGACAAATGGCTTTATAAATGTGTAAGAATGGATTTTGTGTTATTTGAAAGGCATCAGCCACTTTATGGATTCAGGCTTTTTTTTTCCATCCATAATGTGAAATATGAGATCAATTAATTTCAACTAGTTTTTCGACTATAAAATGAGAATGTAGAAAAATAAGCCAATACTGAACAAACAAAAACAACAAAGCTGGGTCTCTGTTTAAATATCCTATTCATTTGCCCAATTTAAAACAAATATGTAGTACTTAAAGGACATTGAAGCAAACCATGGAATCAAATCCAGAACCTTCTTGCTTTGAAGTATAAGTGATAACCGCTGTGCCACCGTGCCGTCCCAGTGCAATAATTCCATATTAAGGCCTCGTTTAGACGGAGATGCTGGGTATCGGTTTGGCCTTCCGCTTACATTAAGACGGTGTTTCAGGGGGTTGAAAACAGTGATAGGGGGCCACGTGAAGAAAAAGGTGTGAATTTTCTGCCTACTATGACCCCCACTTCCCCGCACGTACATTTGGACATGTGCAGTGGCTGAGAACAAACAAACAACAATGGCGGCGGGTACACTAACTAGCTACGTGTGTGCTTCGAGCGCTACACGGAGGAGAATTCTACGGCTTTCTTAAATCCAAATGAAACCACGCAAAGTTGTAGTTTCAGTTTCCATTATCGCAGCTACTGTTCAATGAAGAATGTTGTTGCATTCTTTCACGTCTTTGCGGCGGCCTGAGGAGGATGTTGTTGAGGAAGTAAATACTACTGACGGGCGCTAGAACTACATTGTTTTGAGGCGTCGTCTAAACGCTGCGCAGGGGCCTGTTCGTTTTTGTTAATTGCTTTGGGTCTATGACCGCAGTTGATAAGTTTAGATTTCACTTTTTAAGATCAACAAGAAAAATATTCTTCAAATGTTCAACTGATAGTACCATTTTGAACAGGAGTGTATTGGTTAGTGTGTTTACTTAAATTACATTCATAAAGACCCAGGACACGCTGGAGGGTCTATGTCTCTCAGCTGCCCTGGGAACGCCTTGGGGTCCCTGGAGCTGAAGGAAGCGGAAGAAAATGGATGGATGGATTAAAGTTTGCAAAGCACCTGTAGACCACATGTTTAGTCAGTTTTAATTCCTTATCCAATCTCTCCAGTTGTGCCATGTTTTGTTCCCTAACAGTCGAAGCCTTTGGAGATGCCTGTGGAGTGCAGACTTACACAGTGAGAACCATAATGTCAAGTGTCTCGTTTTATAGTTAACTGCCAATTTTCAACAAAGGAATTCTCAAATCATGTCACGTAGAAAAGGCTTACAAACCCCATGAGCCACTCCTCGCAACAAAAGCCAGAAAAACCTGTGAGGAAAAACTGCCTTTTTTGTGCTTAAATCTTCCAGTATAAAAAACGACATTCACTACAACTGGAAGCTATTCTTATTTTACTAATCTTCTTTCTTTGACTTTTCCCTGCAGCAATGCAGCAACAAATCACATGTCTAAAGAATACATGGATTTGCATTTTCTCCCCTTTCTGTTCTTTTTTTTCATTTCCGGTTGCATTTTTATTTATATTTTCCCATAGAAGAGAGGTGCAAAGAAGTCAAAGATAATAATGAATCCCAAATTTTCAATAGATGCTCTTTGGGAAATCACGTCCACGTGTTTGGAGCTCAGAACGTGCTTCAGACCCGGGTAATAATCCACAAGGGACTGTGTATGGTCCAGGAATCAAACAGCAGGATGTATGAGGGGTGAGCGCGAGGCCGGGACACACACACATGCACGCGCACACACACACACACACACACACACACATGCATGCCTGTTTCTATAGCCATGAGCCGCTATCTGACTCCCGCTGCAGTCAGACTAGCAGGTAAATAACTATAGTAGCACAAATACAATCATGAATCTGTTAAAGCGGCTGAAAACTTCAAGCCTTGTAGTACACATAAAGTAATTTAGGGAATACATTTAAATAGGGTCTAAATCTTTATTCCTCCGGGGCCCGAGCGCCCACCATTTATTTATCCATCATCAGGCAGCTACTTTTTTTTTAACTACTTCGATTCTGAATAATTTCTCTTTAACTTCACATGATCTGTCACTTGGTCTTTCACAAACAAATCCAATAAAATATCTTCATGCTTATGATCTTAACCAGACAAAATAGGGAAAAGAGGATGGGGTATAACACTTTTTGGAAAATTGAGTCATGGCATGTACAAAAAAGGATTTGAAGTTCTGTGAGGCTCACCTGATTGATGTGCTTGAGTTTGTCAATGATCTGACTTACGACAGGATCTGCTTCCTTCACTTTCACTTCCGGGTTGCTGCTCTGAGCTTTGATGCCGCTGCCCACCACTCGCAGTGTGTAGCTGTGGAGACAAACGGCCATAATGTGACAAAAGCGGTATTGTCTGGAGGCCATTCTAGGACACCGGAAGTGAAATACAGCGGTGGCCTGTTGGAAAAAGCAAACTCAACAACTTATTTGTGCTGCTGAAGAATTATCAATTTTCCTGAAGTGGCACGAGGAGATGAGGTGTAGTTCATTTGGAGACCAAGCCTCGGGGTGCAGGTGGATTTGTGGTTCACCGGTGCCATGTTTCACCTGCGTCGGCACATGCATGTTCACCAAACCGTATCCGAGCTGCAGGCTGCAAATTACCTGCTGATTTTATGGTGAGTCTTATACCACAGGTCTATTAGAGCTCCACTTGGAAAATGGCAGCTTCGACTCTTGTGTTGTGAGCTGACTATATGGAACTAATCATTTCCGACCGAATTTATCATGTGAAATTGCAGCCTTAATACATGAGTTAAAATAGTTATTTTTTATATTGCTTGGTTATAGGATTCAGGGCACTTCAGGCTTCTATATGTTTATCTTGAATGGGAGGTAATAATAATTGTGACTGTGAAAATTACTTCAGTCAAATGCATTCGACAGTATATCTCATGTGGCATATTCAATCAAACAAGTGGTGAAAATAAAATAAAATGGAAAGATAATATAAAAAGATATGGAAATCAATGACTCTTCTGGCCACCCTGGGAAAGCATTGTTCCAGCTTCTTCCCTCTGGCAGAAGAATATAATTTGTTATGATTTAGGACATCTCGTTTTGCTAACAGCTTCTTAAGTTTAGTTCTTTAGTTCACTTAGTTAGTTTTATTACTGTACTTTTACCTTTTTATTTATGTACTTGTCTTGTGCACATGTATTCCTATGTGGTTTACTGCAAATGGCAAATAAAAGGATTCTGAAAAAAACACAAAATTGAAACGTATGTCAATCGCGTGTCACTAAAGCAGCCTGTGGGCACAACTCGGGTGGCTCTTTATGAGATACAAGGTCAAGAAGAGATTACATGAATGATTTAGAAGTAGGAAGTATGGCAGTGTAATTTATTTAAAAGAAAAAGGTGGGTGGTAAGTTTTTCATATCGTGGCCACTGAAGTGTTATTCTCCTGTTAATTCTCTGTGAACTACATCTATTTTAAGACAGAAATTAAAGCGTCTTTATGAGTCATTATAACAGGTTTCTTCACAGTTCCCTCCTTTATCTTTGTCCGGCCTTTGCCCCTCTGTTCAAATATTAAAGACAACATTTAAACTGGGTTAACAAGAATATGAGCTTGGAAAATCCTGTGTCCTCGGAAGGACCAAGACAGGGCTCTGATTTGAGTCGTATTGTGTGCACCTTTTGACACTACAGTTTTCAGTGGGATAAGAAAGAGGGGCTTCTTATCTTATATTTTGAAGGGGAAAAGAGTCCTCGGAATTTAGCATTAAGCTGAAAACTCATTTATTGAGGTATAAAAGTTTTACAGAGACTACAAAATCCTATCTGTTCATTTAATCCATATTAATTTGTTCATTTCTTTAAAAACTTTTGACACTTTTTAATGTGTTAAGCTGCTGTCTATTGTGTAAGTAAATATACATATATCAATGTACTGTATTTTTTACTTTTTTACTATTTGCTATTGCGCCATATGCCTGAGCTAATTCCTTGTGTGTGACTTCCTGTTCACAGACAATAGCAATTAAAGAATCCAGATTCCTATCGTAGTTTAGTTGCTGAAGTTGTCAAGTGACAAGCTGTGCCAATCTTTCAAAACTGCTTCTTCACGACAGCACTATTATTTACAAAATGCTATACTCGTTACAAAGTTACTAAACAATTACAAATCAGATTATTCTCATAAGATTATTACTCAATCTTCTAAAAAAAAGTCTATGGAACAAAGTTGTGGTAAAAGTGCATGGAGTGTGTGTTCATCGCTTATGTACTATAGTATTCCATAACTTATTAAACCGGTTGAAACTTTAATGCAGAAAATGAGCATTAAATTGGACTCCATCTGTCAGTTTTTTAATCTCAGCGCAACTCTGACACACTCCATGTATCACCTGAACTGCTGTGAATACAAAACAAAGGTAATAGTGAAAATAAATGCAGCATTCATATGATGCATGACTGCAGCTTGGGAACTTTTCATTTTACGACTAATCTTTGCGACAAGTGTGCTGCTGTAATGTGAGTTATGGTGTAGGGACAAATGAAGGGCTGTTATCAGAGGGTGAAAAGCAGCTGCTGCACACAGAGGCAAATCACAATCATAAATCAGATACAACTACTAGTACATCCTCTGTGACCTGAATAAGAGCCAAGATATAAAAGCCTTTAATATAATAGGTAGGCACAAAAGGGGGACTAACAAATTATATATAGGACAAACAAACAAAGGGGTCTTAACTCACTAAATCAAAATACAAATATTAAGCCACAAGGGAAATCTGAATCACAGATAAGATAATAAGTCTTTAAACACGCAACGAGTTCTTGCAGATTGGATTGGCTAGAAGGGAAGACATTGACCCAATCCCAGAGCATGGGCGAGGAACCGGCACATGGCGGATCACGCAGGATACAGTAGATTCATTCAAACTGCACATAGGTGATGCAAAGTTATTATTCAAAACAATGGCATAAGTATGTTTTCCAGATTTAGACCTTTTTTTTCAATTTTTTAACCAACCATCAACAAGGAGCTGTGTGGTTGAAGAACTAAGAAACTAAATGAGCATTCAAGCCTCTTATCTGAGGCACATTGGAAATTATAATCCAATTTTAAATGGTTGAAATTATAATTTAAGATAAATCAAAGATGTAATAATAACCAAGATAATTGTGTGTGTGTTCTTGTACCTCCTACAGTTTATAATCTGAAAGAGTTATGAAAATCTGCACTTTGTCCTGACCCTCTCCCGCTGCCTCGCTCGTGTACGCTGTGATTAATAGCAGCTTCGCCAGATTAGATCCAAGCCATCTGTGCCACTTCCACCAGATGAATATGTGTCGGCCACACACATCCACCGATCTTCTAAAGTTTTTTAAACGCTGCGGAGACAGCTTTTCACAGGGCAAACATAGAAACATGGATGAATGAGATTACCAATACACCAATTTGGTTTAATGTGATTTGAGGAAACTACTATCAAGTACCGACGAGTAGGTTTACAGATCCCTGCATTTGAACCATCCTTAGTTTCCACTATGGAAACCTGGCAAGAGCAGTGGATGCTAAGTGTAGCCCTTTGGGACATATTAGGGATTGAGGATTTTACATATGGTGCATGTTTTGGGGGTGGAGCAAAACCAGAGGGAACCCTTCCAGACAGGGAGAGAAATGCAAAATTCAAACAGAAAGACTCGGGCTGGCGCAAGATTGAAACCTTGATGTGAGGCATACAGTAAGCCATACCCACTCTGCCATTATGCCGCCCTATATGAACTGTACATTATCCCTATACTGACTTTGAGTGCAGCATGTATGTAGAATCAGTAGGATTGGAACATGCAGATCCAGAGAAGCATAATAAGTGCAATCCATTATCTTTTTCAAGGTAATAACAATGTCTTGCACTTGTCAAGCACTTCACAAGCCTTCCAGAGAAAAAGATTTCCCTTAGTAAGTAATTGTGCAAAACTGTGGTCAAGATCATTTGACTTTACCTTATTTCTGCTTAATAATATATATATTTTGCTAATTTTGGGGGAACAATATGAACCTTAATCAGAACAAAATGATGAACATTGATATTGATATTGAATTGTCTGTGAAGCTTCAGGGTGCAATCACAACCACACATTCAAAAACCTCTGAAAAAAACTGGAACTAAACCTGAGTCAACCTCATCGAGAACCAAAGAAAATCAGGACAAAAAGGTGTGAGTCTGCCCGTATTCTGCACCAGCTGGTAAAATGTTTGGACAATGGAAGAGGCCTTTTACTGAGATAAGACATTTTGGCTGTACTCTTTCTACCTCTGTGGCTTTGTGAGAAGCAGCAGACAGGCATGAATTCATCGGGGGAAATATAATCTGTATTCATGAACAGTCACACATAAATCTATTCAGAATTCACAAGAAATATAAAAGAAATGTATTTCATTACACTACTGGGATCCATAAGCTGAAACACGACAAATCTCATGTAACGTGTAGCCGCCTACCAAGCTCTCAAGGGAACGGAGGGCTACAAAATAAGGGTCCAATTCTTAAAAGGTGTTACATAGAAGAGTCATTGATCATAGTTCTCATATATTCTTCAGAGTAAAGCTTGCAGTAGCATCAAGCACAGGCTATGAGAGGATATCAAACAAGCCGAGCAATCGCTGGGTCTCTGAGGAGCAGCATAATCCATAACCGGCTCCCAAAGCAACACACGCTTTGCATCTCATCTCTGCCCAACAGCACACTTCAGACAAAGATTGGAAATTTCAATTATTTTAGACTACTACTACAAGAACAACAGCCATCTATCCCCCGCGTCTAATTCAAGCTCTACATATGAAAGTTAAAGCATTTGTACAATCAAAATTTGAGAGCTCTTTGGGGGATTGTTTCATCACTTGGGGACAAAGAAGGATTGGGATGTCAAAGTAATTTATATTGTTCACTGAAGGAAAGTGGACTTTTGTAATCCGCGAGAACATACTGTGGTCTGGCGCGAATATAAAACAATGACGCAAGTTATTGTGGGGGATTTAGTTTTCATTTGAACGCAATATGTTAGGGTTGATGTTTTGATAAGGGTCAAAGCAATGAGGAGTTCGCAATGACAGACATTATATAATTTCCACAGAAGTAGATGAGGGTGAATTCAAATGTTATTCAGAACGGGAGCAGTGCATGATTTTGCTACAAATATATGCTGAAAAATATGTCTGTTTTCTAAGTCAATATTTACGACTTTAATGTAAAGAAATCACAACAAAGAGATTGAAGTCGTAAATATTGGATCTTCTTCCTTCTTGAATGAACTAACAATGCTTTTTGAGATTAAGCAAACACAAAAGTGGTGCAA